CTAGGCATCTTCAGCACTGCAGGGCACCAGCCTCATAGGCTGCTTTGATTTTGGTGGGCAGGCCAGGACATCCACGGCCTGATTGTGGCAGGAGGTGTTGTGGGGAGAAGGAGAGAGAGAGAAAGAAATGCTTCTCCATTTAATAAGCATCTCTGGGAAACGCCTCTCCCTTTATCTCTGCGGCTGCCCTGGTTATTGCTGTCTGCAGGGTGTTTCCCTGGCCTGCTTCCAGAACTTTCTGGGAAACCTGCTGACTCAGCGGTGGGGGAGCTTGACCCACACGCCAGCCTCCTGTCTGGCCCCCTGGATTCCTGGACAGGCCGCAGGGGCTACAGGAGGGTCAGAGGGAAGCAGGAAGGGTGAGGATGGGACTCTTGGGAGCGCAAGAGGGGATCTGAGGACACGGTGGTCGTTTTCATTCGCCAGCCCTCCACTGGCAGGGCAGTTGTGGGTTTGAAAAACGAGGGGTGCTTGTTTCGTGGTGGGGAGCAGGAGGAGCCCCAGCCAGGAAAGTTTCCTGCCGACAGCTGGCAAGGCGCCAGCTGCGTGGCTCCCCAAGCGAGCATCCTGTCTCCTCAGCTGCCCCCTCCTAGCCCTGGCAGCGGATTAAGACACTGCGCCCGGCTATGCGGTGTCCTGTCTCCATGGCAACTCCCCATCCCCTGCATTGGAGTTTGCATTATTCATCCGCAGTCCCTGCGCTGCAGCAGCAACCGCCCTCAATCTTGCATCAAGCACTTTGGAGCCCTCTCCCTACCTATATTCTGCAGATAGGTTTGGGCGGGGGGGGGGGGGAAGGGGGGAGAGAGAAGGAATCACTTATGCAGGTGACCGGGATGGGTAGGGTGGGTTTGTTTAATAAGAGGTAGGGGCACTTGAAGCAGGCCTTTCTCCCAATAACCCAGAATGATGGAGCCGAGATCTGCTCTTAGAGGAGGGGCATAGGTGGCGTTTTGACTTAGGGGGGCAGTGGGAGGGGGCACTTTTGAGAATGGGAGAAGGGAGCAAGTGAAAACCAGTATGCGTGTGTCTTGTTAACTCTCGATTTTAAGGTCACTTCCAGCCATAGCAGAGAAAGCTGCCTGCTGCCTGAAGTATAAATATATATCGGGAGAAGTTGCAGCAGCTGGTATTTTCTCTTTTCGTGTTGCTCCTAAAAGACTTAGCAGTTCCATTTGGAAATCTGGGGCATATCAGGTTTTGCACCAAAAGGGATGGATAGAGGGAGAGGTTGATGGTGCAGAGAATTGGGAAGGGGTTTTTTTTTGGGGGGGGGGAAGTGGTCAAATGTCATTCTGTGTGTGAGGTGAGTGGCCTTTACAAAAAGGTGGAAGAAATGTCAGAGTGGGCAGGTGTGTATATTTGTGTAGCTGGGTTATCTTTGGCTATGCAGATGATTTTTAAAAAAATGTATTAATTTATCCCACTTTTTCCTCGAAGGAGCTCAAGATGGCCCAGGTGCTTCTTTTCCCTCCCTGCTCCATCCTCACAACAACCCTGTGAGGTAGGATGGGCTGAGAGACAGTGACTCACTAAAGCTCACCCAGGGGCTTTGAATCCCAATTTCCCAGATCCTAGTCCAACACTCTAACCATTGCACCACACTGTCTTCCCAAGGATTTTCTCAAGTTGTGGGGAGTTTGACCCCTGTATGGGTTGCAAGAAGCTGGAGGATATGGGAGAGCTGCATCAATCTGCCTTTCCTGCAAATATGGCTGAAATTATATCAAGCGGCCAAGACACCATTGGTGGTGAGGAGAATGAACACCGTCCCAATGTGATGTGTCTAGACCTCTGCTGGCCAAACACCTGTGGGATGTCATGTTCGCTGGACATGTGTTTGAAGTCATAACCTCTGGCCTAGAACCTCTTCCACTGAAGCCTAGATGGATGGCTGTGTGTAATTAGTTACTGGTGAGGGAAAGGCACTCTGTATATGCCCAGAGTCACTCTTGATGGTGTTCTTTGTTCTATGGCCCGGGCATTCTGAAAATGGCCTCTGTGGCCAATCGCTGGTGCAACTTACATTTGCCCTCTATGTGGAATGTGATCCCCCCCCCAAGTCAGAAACGTGGCAATATTTCAAGTTGCAAGGAGGTGTCAACGATGTTCCTCACAGGCAGAGAGGTCTCCCCCATCACCTGCTAGTAAATCCTTTTAACTAGCGATACCAGGGATTGAACCTGTGGCCTTCTGCATTCAATGCAGGTGCCCTGACACCGAGTTAAAAGGATCCACATTGCCTGTAAGCACCCCAGACTCCCTGATAAGTCAGTGTCATTCTGTCCTGTCTCGACAGTACTGCTTGCATCGTTATTAGGGCATGTCTACACTGCAAAATTAAAACCAGTTTTACTCTCCAAGTCTCTTCCGAAGGATCATGGGAACTGGCATTTTTGAAAGGTACTGGGAAGCTTGCATTAAGAGAGACCAGACCCTTCACCAGAACAAGAGTTCACAGAGTTCCTTAGTTGGGAACTTCAGCCACTAAAGAGGTTTAGAAACTGGTTTGAGTGTATAGGCTCTGCATACCCAGAACACCAAAGGGCAGGAACCTATAAGGGCCTTCATGATCCACTGAAAGTAAGATTAGATTAGATGGCAGGTTGCAGTACTGTTGGATCTCCCATCTTTGCCTTCTTCAAGGGACCACTTGCACAACAAGCAAAACGCTTTCTGTACCACTCAAGAAAAAGGTACTCTTTTGCAAGATTTCTTTCCCTCCAGTTGCACACCTTTTGGGGGAATGCACAAGGACCAGAACCACATTCCCAGCTCAGAGGCAGCACCCAGAATTGCATTGTTAAAAGATGCTACCCAATGTGGTCCAAGACCACTGTTTGGAGAACTAGGGCCTGCCCTTCCATTAGATGCCATGATATAGTCTGAAGGAACGTGGGACCACCACCTTACTGAAGCTAGACAGGTCCAAGTCTGGTTCATTTCTGGAAGGGTGACGCCTTGGGTTCAATAACGGAAGAAACACAATACATCATTGTAAGGAAATAAACACAAATAAATAAATTTAGGAAGATTAAGGCAGTTGCCTCAAATTGTAGTATTCTAAAGGATGTCAAACTGCCAGCTATTCACATTTTTTTTTACCATGGGGAGGGGACACCATTTGAATTTTCCAATCAGGTATCAAAACATATTGGGATCAGAAGCAAAACACTCCCAACCAGAGTTGCTATATATACATGCAGAGGCAGGCACTTAATGGTCAATTCTTAGAAAAAATGTGTTCTTCATCCTACAATGGCAGAAATCCCATACTGGTCTGGAAGCAGGGATAGGTGTCAATTCACACCTGTTATCTTTAAAAGGTTGAAAGCAGCTGCAGTTGCTGTGTCTCTCAACCCACTGCCCATTGGTTCCACTACCTCCCCTCCTTTCGCACTTGCTGTATCAAGGACAACTTACAGCTTTGCTGAATAACAGGTAGGGTAGAAGAGCTTAGTGAGTGGAGGACCATGGTCAAAAACCCAGCTGTTATAGCATCACTCATTGCTTTAGATCTTATGAAGTTAGAAGAACGATACCTGGCAATCCTATTTGAACCCACTCATGCTACGCTCAAATCCTGTCTTGATCTACACAAGGCAGTAAAGCAGGTTAGATGTTAACACCACCAGGGAGAGCTCCTAGGAAGCAATTTGCTCCAACAGCACGAAGGAGAGCTCCCAGTGACAAGGTGTGGAAGGGGCCCTTTGAGCTTCTTTCTCCAGTCCACTCCTTTTGAAGAACAGGGGTGGGACAGCTCTGGCCAAAGGAGCAAATGCACTCCTCCAAGCCTCTTTCTCTGGTCCTTGGGACTCTCCCCATGCCACACCCTCTCTCCAGGACACCCCTCACCAGCCCTACTTTGCACCTTCCTTGGATGCTTTTGCCTGTCTGGAATTTGTCCTTAAGCTCTGATCATGCCTCTTTCTTGCCTGGATGAAAGAGAAGAGTGTGTGCATGTGCGTATAGGAAGTAGTCTGCTATACCAAGGTAACATGTACATTCATGGCTCCACCCACGTTTGCCTCTGGCCCCTCCTCCTACTGTCCCAAAAGCCAATGAGACCTTTGGCCTGAAAAATGTTCCCAAGCCCTGAACTAGGGTGAGGTAGTGTGGGAGTCAGTTTGTTCCTCAAGCCCAGGGCAAATTGCTTGTGAGAGTCCTGGTTTTGGTTCTATGACACCTGATTTAGATGTAGTGATGACCACCAAGCTTGATGGTGATCAAAAAGGATTAGACAAATTCATGGACGGTGAGGCCATCAGTGTCTACTAGACATTCTGGCTATGCTCTGCATCTACTGCTGGAGGCAGCATGCTGAGAACCACAAGTGGGGAGAGGGCTACTACATTCATGTCCTGCTTCTCACAGGCATCTGGTTGGGCACTGTGAGAACAGGATGCTGGACTAAATGGGCCTTTGGCCTGACCCAGCACATCTCTTCTTATGTGGGCTCCTGCCTGGTAGCTTTGGGTTTCAGTACCTTCTTAAGCACCAGCCAGGAACCTGGTGCAGCTCCTTGAGCAGTGATGCTGTAGCCTCCAACTCAGTGTCCTGGTCGCTGCTGGACTCTCACTTCATGGCACATCCTGTATCAAATGGTTTGAAGGGAACCAGTGACTTCAGATTCACCAGATTGTGCTCTCTAAACTGAGAAATGTAGAAGGATCGTTATGGAAGGCTTAGAGGATGCTTAGAAGAAGATAGGCAATAACTTTTAGCATCTCTCTTAAATAAGAACAGGACAGCAACAGGAAATGCATGGCAATACCCAGGTACAACTAAGCCCCAGCGCCACCTAGTGACTAATGAGTATAATGACACTATCCATATAGTGGATGCAGGAATGAACTATACAACATTTATTTAAGCCATTGTTTTGTAGCGAACCCTATTGGGTATGACATTACCCAAGATAATGATTTACCAGCCAATTAAATGAAATGCGCAATAGGCCTGGTTGCTCACTGTACTCTCACTCTCTGTTTTCTCCCCAGATAACAGCAGCCACATGGACCCCTTCACCTATGGTGAGTAATGTTGTAGAAATGCAGCACAGTCGTTGGGTCTGAGGGTTGTGTCATACCCAAAGTAGACCCACTGAAATTACTGAGCATGGCTAACTTGGGTCCACTATTCTCAACGGGGTCTGCTCTGAGAAGAATTTACCTGAAGATCCTTTTGCCCCACACAGGAAGGAAGAGATATTGTAGGGAGTTGGCTGCCCCTCAGGGGTCCCTTCCAACTCTAGGTGGGGGTGGGGGTGTTAAGATGTTGGGGTGCAAGGGTGGTGGTGACTGGGTTTTACAGGGAGAGGCAGGGCATGTCTCTGGGTGGCAGATACAGCATCTAAGGCATCTTGGTTTGGGTGCTTGGGTGACTATGAGCATCGTACATTCTGACCGGCTCCATTACCCTTCCAGACTATGATACGCTGCGCACAGTGGGACTGTTCTTGGCCATCGTCATGTTTGTGCTGGGAATCTTGATAGCACTGAGTGAGTCACTTCTTTTTTTATTGATGTATGCTTCCTTTATGCCTCTCTTGGCTCCTACACTGGCCTCCCTGTCTGGTTCCCTCAGCTCCCAGTTCTGATATTTTACTTGGGTCCAATATGTGCCCTATTCTGCAGACAAACCACCCAAATGCAGATACTGTATCAGCCAAAGGAATCAGCAGCTACCAAAGAATCTGGCCTGCCTTCCTTCCTTCCTTCCTTCCTTCCTTCCTTCCTTCCTGTCTATAAGGTTCTAGTCCTTAAAGTTGCTCAACAAATAAAATGCAGAAGTAACGTCTCAGGAAACTTTTGATGCCAGAGGTACCAGGGGATTAGGGGCCCACAACAGCTCTCTGCTCATCCCCTCCAGTGACTCGTAGAAGCAGCATAACTGAGATGCCACAGTGATGCAGTAGCTAGCACGTTGAACTTTGACCAACATCCATATCCCTGTTCAGCCACAAAGCTCACTGGTTGATTTTGGACCAGTCATGGGAAGGTACCTTATATCAAGTCAAGACTCTTATGCATTCCAGTCCAGGGTTGTCTCCCTTGGTTGGAAGCAGCTCCCCCGAAACTCATGGAGATGTCTTTCCCATCTCCTGTTACTTGATCTTTTAAAGTAGATATGCTGGAGATTGAATGTTGGGACCTTCAGTCATCAAGGCATGAGCTGTTCCACTGAACCAATGGTGTTGGTCCTTGTCATGGCCCTTCCCTCAGCTTAACATAACTCACAGGGTTGTTGTTGTTGTGTGGTGAATCCCCAGCAATACTCTAAGCTTCATGGAAGAAGGGTGGGGCACACATGATAGGTAGATAAAAGAATGTAACATAAGCAAATTTAGTCATATTCTGCATCATGCTTATACATAACAACATAAGAGCTTTGCTGGATCAGACCAAAGGTCCAACAACCTGTTCTCACAATGGCCAACTATGGGAAACCTGCTTTCGGGACACGAATGCAAATAATTCTGCTTTTCTGGACACTTATTATTTTCATCCCAGAGCATAGACAACCTTATCCATTGTGAGATACAGAAATGCAAGATACAGCTGCATGCGATGGGCCTGGAGCAGTGACTTCTCAACTTCCAGGGCAAATAGCAGCTTCAGGGGGGTTTCATTGGAAGGGAAAGGGTTAACCAAGCGATCTCCCTAGTATATGTGGAAGGTGTATATATACATTTGTCACTGAGGCCATCCAGAGGAGCTCTGTTAGTTACAGACCCCCGACTGGCCTTAGCTAGATGTCAGTCATTTAGTTTCTCCTCCAGCAGTGATTGAGGAAGACCGTTTTAGGCTGACAGGCCTTTGCAGCCATTAAAAACATTATTGATTAGCCAATCACCTTAATGATTATTTTGTACTGTATTTAAATAGTGTTTTAAGTTTTATTGTCGAGCAATAACCTTATATTTTATGACATAGCTGTAATCTTTTCATAAACAAACAAAATATGAAAAGGAAAATACTTTTTAATAGCAGCCTGTTAAGGACCTGTCTGACCTTTCAGGACTGTGCTGAATATTGAGGTGGCAGTCGAAAGAGTGGAGGGAGGAAGGAAACTGGGATAATGAGAGGAGAAGAGTTAATTGCCTTGCTAAAGCCCCTATTAGGTTTATCTAGACAAGGTGATAGATGGTGGGAGGGGTGGGGGGGTTGACCATGCTGTAAAGTTAACAAGCTAGTTTGCCTACATTGTGCACAGATCTTTCAGGAGTGAAAAAGGGTGCCCTTCCCCTTTCTCATTATCAAGACACTCACCCACCTTTCACTATAGAGCTACAAAATGCCCAAGTTCAGCTCCTCTGAATGCTCCAGTCCTAAATCAGAGCCACATTTCACTACAAAGTACAGCTGAGGCCCGTGGGTCTACCATGTGTTTTGAGAAGGAGGGTCCTTTCCTCCACTCTAGACCATGCTATACTCATGCTGAGAGCTCTGAACAGCACTACATGGCTCCTCTTCCAGCTGGGAAGCAGCCCTGAATAATAGGGTGAGGTTACGCTGCAACGTTTTGTTACAGACCCCAGTAGTATTTTTATTTATTTATGAATGACACTTCTTCGCACCAGATAGCAAGACAGGATCGTTGTCGCAGCCTCCCAGCCCTTCCCTTCCACTCATACTTTGCTCTCTCTTTTTCCCTCCTGCTGCAGGTAAAAAGTTCAAGTGCAAAAAATCTGACCCCAGGTAGGTGCTTCCTGAACACCTTCTCTCGTCTTCATCCCTGACCTCCCTCCTCCTCAAACGTTGTGCCCTTCATCCCTATTCACTTGTTCCCTTTTCTGTGTCTTCATCTCTGCAGCCTGTCGGACCCCAGGGCATCGGGCAAGACTCCTAGTAAGTGTGACGTGGCCTTGGGAGGGAGGGAGGGAGGCACAGGGCAAGTTTGTGTGTGTAGGGCCTGTTTGTGTGTGTAGCCTTGTGCAAACCTAGCAGGGAACACAACCTCTCTCTCTCTTTTCAATCTACTTAAAAGCAGACCAGGGGTCAGTGGTGGCTGGTGCATTGGGACTGGTAGGATAGGCGGTACGGAGGCCAACAGTAGGGGCGCCAGAGACACCAATAGGTGAAGCCAGAGCCAATGACAAGCGAAGCCAACTAATTCTTGTTTTATCCTCATCCTCTTCCCTGTTGAGTTCTACAAATGCAACACTGAGACCATACCTTCCAGCACGGCATGGCCCGAATCTGGGATGCCATCTTCTGGGTCTCCAGCGAGTCACGTGACCTGCGTGAGATTGCAGCCCCCCCCCAAATAACTGTTTTCAGGCACAGCACCCAAAAACATGAGTTTTGGGGTGCCTTGAAATGCAAATTCTGTGCGCCGTGCCCAAAAATGGTGCAGCCCGAAATAGTGCGAGATCATGATGGCCACTTGGGCCACTGTCCTCTCGTAAGAAAAAAAGGGATGTCCTCTTTTTTTCCAGGGCAGTTGACGGGTATGTGAGACTAAGGAGGAGGAAGCTGACGGCCAGAGCCCTACACTGCACCCCGGACTGGGTGCTAAGGCAGGCAGAAGGGGGCTGTCTGAGGTGCAGACTGAGGTTGGCAGGGCAGTGCCTCATATGTATGCCCTAACAGACCAGCCTCCACTGCCAGGGGTCCACCTGAACCGCCATATTTAACCCATAAGAGAGGTCACGTTTATTAGACATTCATTCTGATTTCTTCCCAGAGAGGTTAGACAACGTTGCTTCAAAAGCAGCCATTACCTCAATTTCCAGCACATCCCTTTCCTTACTGCAAAAATAAATTAATAAAAATAAATATTTTGGGGGGAGGGGGAATGGGCCGTGTTGCACAAGAGGGCCGAATCCAACTTCAGTGGTGCAAGCTGGATTTGCCAGGATGCGGTCGGACCCCCGTAAGAACAGCTACCGCCTCAAAGTGCCCAGGGTGTTTCGCCAAGGTGAAAACAGCCCCCCCGCCGATCTGTGTTTGTGCACATGCGAAGGTGCCTGCTTCTTTGCCCCCTTCACCTTCTCCTTACGGAGGCATTGAGGAAATTGCGAGAGGGAGGGCGGCTTGAAGCTCCCACACCTGAGGTAACCTCCCGCCCACCTTCCGTTACCATGGAGTTTGCTGACGTCGGAGGGGATGCTGAGGACTCTATGGTGACGCCATGGCAACGGAGAGCACGATTCCTGCAGCAGCTGGGAAGCCTACAGGGAGACATTGTTTGCCAGGGCTCCCGAATGCTAGGATTCGCTTCTCTCCATCGTGCCACGGCCACTGCCACTCTTCTCTCAAACTCTCCCTCTCTCCTCCGTCTTCTTCTCTCTTCCAGCTCCAGCCGGTGGTGTGTAGGTGCCCTCGCAAATCTCTGCTGCTCCCGACTGGCTGGGGGATGAACTGCGCCCAGGAACATTTCTCCTGAGACCTTGGCACCTTGGCACCGACTGCCCGGGAGGGGGAGGGGCTCTCCGTTCTATCCTCGACAAGGGAGGGGCAATTTTATAACCAGTTAGCTCTTGCGCTTCCATTGCATGACGGGGGCCGGCACCTGGGCGGGGTTGGGGGCGCTACACAGGCCATGAGGTAGCAAAGTCCCTTTGCCTGTCTATTTCAGCTGGCACCCACCCCGCTGGGGGCTGGCTCCCATAACCCCCAAAACAGGGTCCCTTTAAACTGCAATAACGCTGCCTGCTGCCACCCTCTGGGAAACACCCCCCCATGCAACGCCACGCCACCCCCCCCAGCGATGCCCCCTTGCTTCTGGGCATATTAACCCCCCCCATAGCTGCTGCTGCTTTGCTTTCTGTGCCTCCCGCTATGCTGTGAGAAAAAAAGAAGAAGTCCAATGACCACGATAGCCACAAGGGGGACAGGGATTCTACCCAAGAGCCAATCTGCCCCAGTGCTAGAAACCAGGACGCTTTTTTGGGGTGGGGTGGTGGGGTTGGGCCACCTGTGAAGCCAAGGATAGGGCCAGCCGAAGGAATAAAAAGGAGCGAGGGAGGGCTTGCTTTTGTGGCATACACTCCACTCCCCCCAGGGGGCGCTGCTCACAGCTTCTCCTTGCTGTACCATCCACATCTCCGTGTCTCTCATCCAAGCATGGAGCAAACTTTGACCAATCAATAAACGTGGGTTGTTTTTTTCTAACTAGACTCGCTTGCTTCATTTTGTTTGTTGGTACTGTAACGGGCTCAAAAGTTCCATCTCACCACTGGGTAGCTCAGTGGGTTAGAGCATGGTGCCGATAACGCCAAGGTTGCAGGTTCGATTCCCCGTGTGGGACAAATGCATATTCCGGCATTGCAGGGGGTTAGACTTAGATGATCCTCAGGGTCCTTCCAGCTCTACAAGTCTATGATTCTAAGCTGTCTTGGGATCTGCAATTCTGAGCTTGCTGCATAAGTGGCAGGAGTTGGGCTCTAAAAGAGCTGAACACTACCCCCTCTTTTTTTTACTGATCTTCCGCTCCTGCAAGAAATGAGGTTACAGGGAACCGGGCAGAGGGCCTTCTTGGTAGTGGCGCCCGCCCTGTGGAATGCCCTCCCATCAGATGTCAAGGAAATAAACAACTATCTGACTTTTAGAAGACATCTGAAGGCAGCCCTGTTTAGGGAAGTTTTTAATGTCTTTAATGTGTTTTATTCTGTTTTTAGTCCTCTGTTGGGAGCTGCCCAGAGTGGCTGGGGAAACCCAGCCAGATGGGCGGGACATAAATAAAATAATAATAATAATAATAATAATAATTCTCTAGAACTAAGGAATAAGCTACACACCAGGTTGTAGCTAGCTAAGTTCTATGTGGACTGCACTCATAGAAATTAATGGACACAAATTTCTCATGTTAATTAATCCCAGTGGGCCTAATGTTGGAAACAATCCTTTGTATTAAATGTGGAGTTGCACTTACGATGCCTTTTAAAATGGCGGCTTTGGGAGGGGCTGATTAGGATCAGGTAGAAAAGGTAAAGGACCCCTGGACAGTTAAGTCCAGTCAAAGGTTGCGGCGCTCATCTCGCTTTCAGGTGAGGGAGCTGATGTTTGTCCGAAAGACAGCTTTCCGGGTCACGTGGCCTGCATGACTACTTCTGGTGCAATGGAACACCATGACAAGTGCCAGAGCTCATGGAAACGCTGTTTACCTTCCCACCGCGGTGGTACCTATTTATCTACTTGCACTGGTATGCCTTTAAACTGCTAGGTTGGCAGAAGCTAGGACAGAGCAACAGGAGCTCAACCCATTGCATGGATTCGAACCACAGATCTTCCGATCGGAATCAAGGCCATAAGAAGGGATGTGTTAATCTGATGAAAAACTGCCCCCCCCCTGCTTCTCAAAGCTGCTACTTGCCATGTGTGGAGGAGAAGCTGCAATTGGCCCCAAATGCGTCTTCCTTCCCGATACAGGTAAGAGCTGGTGGAGAAGGCAGATCTCAGCCCGAGAATGGAGAACATTAAATAAGTTACGATGTGCCATGACAGCTGCTATTTTTCAAAAAAACAAATAAAAAACACAGCCCAGATGTGTTAAATGCAATAACGCGTTTAATTGCAACGTTTAGTCAGGCCTTCTGAGAAGAAAAGGCCTTGATCTTCTTATTGAGATGCCCTCTTTTTGTTTTTGTTTTTCCGCTGGCTTTTAACATTGGCTTGGTCAGCAGAAACGAGCAGCTGAATGTGCTCCTCTCCACGGTGTGAAACGTTTCACCTGCCAACTGGCTGCATCTTAGGCTGCAGAAGAACGGCACAGGCGGCTTTGTTTTGCAGCCAGTTGGCAACCCTGGACCATCTAATCAGCGTTATTGTGGCGATGGGGGAGGTGGAAAAAACCCACCAGCCATTCTTGGAACATCCTGGCATCCTTAACTAAGGAAGGGATGAATGAGCAGCTGCCTGGGCCGCGGCCTGGTAAATTGCCATGATCAGAAGAAAGAGGAACAGAACACATACAGAAAGGGGCAAATTGAGAGGGTGCGTGTGGCTGCCGTGCTGCCAACAAGGGCCAATCCACACTTCCGCTTGTCCTGTGCCTAGAAAACAAGGATCTGAGCAGTTTCCTGCTTGTCCTGTACTTCCTAGGCACGGGTCTGTATGCGATTTGCCTAAAATAGAATAATAGAATTGTAGAGTCGGAAGGGACCCTTAGGGTCATCTAGTCCATCCCCCTGCAATGCTCCTGCAGGGAGCGAACCTCCAAGCTTGGCGTTATCAGCACCATGCTCAGCACCAACTGAGCAGTTTTGCCTTTGCCCTGCCGCTTTACCACTGAAAACCTGCTCTTTAGTGCTAAATCAGAACAAACAGCAATCTGTGGGAGAACCCAATGGACATTTAATCCAGTTCAGCAGACAAGAGCAGGTTTTCCCAGAGGGGAGGGGAGTAGTGGGGCAAACAGAAATATGGGTGAGCCCTCAGTCTGTAAAAAACCTGGATCCAGGGGCTGAGCCATGCCTCTAAATATATCCAGCACTGTGGGGCCTCCTCCCCTGAGACTGCAAGAAAAATGTGGTGCTCTCTTTAGCGACCAGGGAAAACGCACGGTCTCGCGTGCTTCCCTTTAGGTACCAATTTCCAACTATACTTGGGACTTTATATGATGGGAAGTAATTCACAAATCCAATAAAGCTAATGCTCCATATTCTGAATGATCTCACCTGCTGAGCCAGGCGTAGAAACCCACGTTGTGAATGCAGCCGTGGCTGCCAAGATAACGCGTAATTCCGGTGCTTTGGGGGAGTAGAAATATGAGTTGCTGGTACACATATCTTGATAAAAGCGCCATGGGTGCCCACACACAAGAGTTGCCATGGGTAGCAAGAAAAGAACGATGGGCAGGAATGTCATTTGGGTCCCCTTTAAAGGTACGAAAATAAGTCAAGCATAACATTTCACTTATTTCTATACACAAAGTTAAAATGAAAGCAAGGCTGATTGTATCACAATACGTTCCATCATGGTCAATTTTTTATTACAACCGGGGTGGAGAATATCACTTAATGCACTCTAAATACATGAATGCAAGTCACGAAAAGAAGCAAGCTGTGACCTTCGCATGTGGTACTCGTACGTAAACAGAAACAGCCCCCCCCCCAAAAAACCCAAACCTCTTTAAAAATCATATTAGTAGGAGGAGCATATGGTGAGTTGGTGATAACCAGTTCACTGATAAAAATTGCCATAGTGATTAATCCTATACGAGTACAGTGGTACCTTGGGTTACATACGCTTCAGGTTACAGACGCTTCAGGTTACAGACTCCGCTAACCCAGAAATAGTACCTTGGGTTAAGAACTTTGCTTCAGGATGAGAACAGAAATCGTGCTCCAGTGGCGCGGCAGCAGCGGGAGGCCCCATTAGCTAAAGTGGTGCTTCAGGTTCAGAACAGTTTCAGGTTAAGAACGGACCTCCGGAACGAATTAAGTACTTAACCCGAGGTACCACTGTAAATTCTCTAGTTCCCTATTTAATGAAATGAACTTTTTTGAGCCTTCTTGGAAGCAAAGCCCTCAGCCAAATCACCATGACCCAAACTTTCCCCAATTTTATGTTCAGCTGAAACCAATACTAATCCTACTAGACATTCTCACAACGTTTTGGAGGGCTGTTAGAGGCAGTCCTTTGCTTGAAGATCTCCTCCATTTGAGGCCTGCCGAGCCCAAGACTAGTTTAAAAATAAGGAACCACCCAAAGGGGAGCAGAAGGGTCTTTGAAGTTTCCCATCCTGGTCAACAGACCAAAGAGGCAGGTGGAAACGTCCCCTGGTGCTCCCCCCCCCCCCCCGCTATGGCAAGATGCACTCTGCTTCTTCTGAAAGCACAGCCATTGTTTCTTAAATTTAAATGTTTGCATGTAAATTACCACGTGCAGATATTATGCAAATGGGCACTCTCTTTTGTCCTTGCGGCTGGTGATTCAAATCCTCATAATTGGCCACCCTAAGCACACAGCGTCCCCTTTTCAGCTCAGCTGAGTTTTGGAAGAAGGAAAACAAGCAGAGCTCTCTGTGTCCTTTCTGGGAAGACGTTCCGGGCTTAAGGAGAAGCAAGAAAAAACGGGCAGATTCTTGTGGGCGACTTTTGGATTTTTTAAAAAAAATGATGCCACACATATGGCATCGCCAGATGACCTGTTCAGCAAGCATTCATTCATCCAGACAAATTCATTCTGATTTGCTTGCTGGGTTTTCATACATCTTTCTGTTAATCCTGCGCTCAATGCAATTTTAGTGCATTTACCCATTGCTGTGCATTGCTGCACACTGCAGTTCTGTGCTGCTGTTTGGTTATTCTCACACTAGCTATGCCTGTTCTTTTTGTTTTCCTTGCACCATACAGTGGTACCTCAGGTTAAGTACTTAATTCGTTCCAGAGGTCCGTTCTTAACCTGAAATTGTTCTTAACCTGAAGCACCACTTTAGCTAATGGGGCCTCCTGATGCCGCTGCGCTGCCGGAGCACGATTTCTGTTCTTATCCTGAAGTAAAGTTCTTAACCCGAGGTAATATTTCTGGTTTAGCGGAGTCTTTAACTTGAAGCGTATGTAACCTGAGGTACCATGTATTTTCATTTCATTTTTTCGAAACCAGTCCTGGGACCATTCAGGAAAGGGGGAGGGCAGAGGCAAGAGTGGGCGGAGCAACAGATTAAAATGTCACCTTTGTACAGTAGGCAACTTTCTGTATACACACACACACACACACACACACAGCTCTCTGCCTTCTATCCAGGCAAGCAAGAAGCATGGGGCACATTCCAGCCAGGCAAAAACACTTAAGGAGGGGCCAAAGCAGGGCCAGTGAGGGGGTATGGCTTGGGGAGCATCCTGAGGGCCAGGTAGTGGGGCCTGGAGGGCCACATCTATCTCCTGGGCCTGAGGTCTTCACCCCTGCTGTGTCCCCAAATGCTTCCTGCCCCACTGATTTGCTGATCTCTGGTGCTGATACAGAAAGGGCTGCAGAAACTTCTGCCACATCAGGGAAGGGGAGCAATCAAAGGTGCCCTCGTAATGCATTTATACTCCCCAGAGCTGGCCCACCGATTAGGTAGGGTGAAGCACCCGCCTCAGGTGGTGGAAGTGCAAGTGTTTCACCTCAGATGGAGAAATGGGATGGGCCACCCCTCCCCAGAGGAGT